CCAGCTGCTAACTTCCTCTATGAAGAGAGTAAGGTAAATATTTCTAAAGCCCACAACTTAAAGTCTGGCCAGACACTTTGAATGAGAGTAATGAGGGAGAGAGAGAGAGAGAGAGAGAGAGAGAGAGAGAGAGAGAGAGAGAGAGAACAATGGCTGTTTCTCTGTACCTGAGGGTCTGAACTCATCAAACAATATCAAAATCATTGCCTAGTTCTGCCCTCAGCTTCTCTATCTTATGGCTTGTCTATGGCTGACTTTATGTGGTGTCATGGGGAGAAGGGCAGGCACCCCTATGCAGGGGATCGGAGACAAGTAGAACACATCATATTCCATTCTAGAATAGGTAAAACAGCACTTGGGGAATTGTGTACAAATCTAGATTCTATATTTCCAGTGTTCTTATTTAAGAACAGATTGTGATTTTTAAATAAAGCATAGGAAAACCTAAGTTTTGAGATTAAAATTCAGCTTTAAAAATCACATAGCAATGTGTTCGTCTACTTAGGGATTTATCAAAATTTGAAACCAGGTTTTAAGAGAAATGGAAAGATTTGAAAATACTTCTGTAGAGAAGTAACTATTGATAGCATTACATTTGACTTCTATGATAAGAATAAAAATTAAGCATGCTCGATATTAGTTACTCGTTTTTTCCCCCAATGTTTATTTAATTTAGTAAATACAGGTTTATTTTTCTTCAATAATGTACCATGAAATAGGATTATTTTTCCTTGTACAGATGATAACCTTGGATTAGGTAATATTTTGATCATTTAAGGCACATAATTTATCAATCAGGTATAGTATGCTTAGGTCCATAAAATACCATTATGATTTCATGTTTTTTAAATTTTGTTTTGTCTCTAGCTTTTCCCATGCTTTATTTCAAAATTATTTTTCTTGCCTTTTGTTAGTCTTTAAAAAAAGATTTAGTGAGAACGTATGTATTCTTTTGTTTTGACATAAAAAAATGTTGACTCTAGGAAGGAAGGGGTAAAACATTTCTTAAATTTAAATAGACCAGAAGTAAACAAATAAGCTTTGGGTTCCTGTGGGGTATTAGATCCTCAAGTCGGACATTTGGGATTTAAAAACCTTCATGAATCTTTGTTAATTTGTGTTAACTTGCAAATCATAAATTACATATCTGTATTTTAAACTAAGATATTTGTGTAAAGAATGTAAGAATATAGTATGTTTTTAGTGGGATGAAAAAATTAATCTGAAGCCAAGTTCTTTCCTGATTTGAAAAGAACCTTCCTTCATTGCAATGTCTGGACAATGGCATGCTTGGTGGTATCATACTGATGCCTTCTGTGGCTTAATATAATTTATTTTCCTTTTTCATTTTGTTTAGTTATTTAACTGGGACGCAAATTATTGGATACTTGTGCATGGCTTGTTTGAACTTAATTTATTTCTGTTGGTACTTGTTTATTATTTTTTTTAAAGTTGCAATAAAAAGTAATTAGAGGAGAAAGGAAAATCAGTTTTGGTATTAATGCTAATATTTATTAATCTGTCACCTGATGGAACCTTAGGAACATAAAAAAAGTAACATCTTTTTTAAAATTTTTTTAAAAATTTTGTATATTTTTTTATTGGAGTTCAATTTGGCACCTTTAAAATATTGTTTATCTATTTGCCAGTGGGATTTAGATTTTATATCAAAAGAGAAAGAAAGAATCTTGCTTTCATTCTGGGAACTGGAGTACACCAGCATAGAGAAAGATAAAAACAATTATGTGAAGTGGAACATACTATTTGGTATTTTTTTTCAAAGTGCATAAACATGCCTGTACAGGAATATTAAAGACTTATGATATAGTACCGTTTATCATTTTAAAAGTCATTGCTTAAGAATTTATACGGTCTAGGAAAGTTTCAGATCATTTTTTTTTGTTTGTCTAGTATGGTTTCTCTGCCATAAAATTTATCTAACTCATAAAAATGTGTACTCAGTTATTTCAATGAGCAAATTCCTGTGTAGTTTCTCTTTTCTTCAGTACAATGATAGCTTTGTGAAAAGTTACCAGGATGATTAAAAAATTAGAACTTGAACATTTGTGGTTATTACATAGAAAATGATTGAAGGAATGATTTTTAAAAACATGAAAGGGCTCCCCCTTTGCCCAGAGGGTAAAATAGTAGGACATACTTTTTATTAAATTTTTTTTTCAAGATTTACTTATTTATTTTAGAGTGAGAGGATAGAGGGAGAGAGAGAGAGGCTGTGGAATGGGTGGGACAGAGGGAGAGGGAGAGAGAGTATACTCTCTCTCTCCCAAGCAGACTCTGTGCTGAGTATAGAGCCCAGTACAGGGCTCGATTCCACAACCCTGCGACCACAACTTGAGCCAAAACCAAGAGTAGGACGTTTAACCCATTGTGCCACCCAGGCGCCTCAGTAAGAGATACTTTTGTAAAGCACCAAGAATTGGGACTTGGCCAAAGAAAAGTACATTGAAATTTTGTACTTTGGGATATGATACTAACCAAGTAACTTCCAGACTACACTGGGCCACACAGGTAGATCCCCAGAGAGCGTCATTTTTAAATCTTGCAGGTCTTAAAGATTCAAATTACATTGAATATAGTATATCAAATATATCAAATAAATTATATAGAATATATGAAATAAACTCACAATCTTCCATGAGGCATAATTTTCATTGTAAATATTTGGAAATGATTATTACAATTTTGCTTTTAAAGTTACTTTCCTAAGAGTGATTAATTTCATTTACTATGCTTTTCAGCAAACAATATGAAGTCTTAGAAACTGTTTGAAGACAGAGAATGTAGCATACAATTTCTCTCCAAAATTAAGAAACTTCTAATGAGTACAAAATTTAATATAAAAGTCAATAATGTTTCAATTTAAATATATTTACTTCCATATTCACTAATTTCAATTGTTTCATTTAAAAACATTTTCTTAGAAGCAGTACTTATTTTTCCAATGTAGAATGTGATTTTGAACCCCTGGAAAGTTTGGAGGCCTTGTCCCTGACATACCACTCGCTGGATAAAGCTGCCTTCCATCTTTCATCCTGTGTCCTCTCCTTTTTCTGGTTCCTTCTCTCCTTTACTAGAAGGGGCTTCTCCTGTTCTCCAATAACAGCGGCCACTACTCATCCCTCTAGTTTTCATGGACTTGATATGAAATCATTAAATTTCCTGGATAATTATTAATAAACCATAGATGTTCTTTCTTGGACTGAAGAGGGTTTGGAGTGTGAATGATTTTTTCACCCTGTATTTCTGGGGACATAACTGAAGAGTGGGACCTGTATGAAAGTAGATGAAATTGACCTTGCAAAACAGCATCATTTATGGCCTTGTGCCTCAGTGATGTTCTCAGGGCTTGGAATTCCAAAGGGAAGAATACAATTCCTCAGGAACACTCTGGAAATGTCCAATTTGTGGTCTTTTAGGAAAAACGAATTTATTACGAGTTAATAAAGAATATAGAGCAGTTTCATTCAATTCATTGACTGTCCACAATGAGTCAGGCATTATATACTAGGGTTGTTTCTCATTTGTTTTTAAGCTCAAGTTTCCATTTGATAAAATAAAAATTCAAAACTTATTTTAATGTCATTTGTAACTTTGAAAGGCATTAAGTTTTTGTGACTTCAACAAAATCAACACAATGGCGATTTTAGAATATTATTCTTTCAAGCCATGAATATCTCCCTCCTCTTGACTTTCTTCCTTTTCCGTACCTGCTCCCACCTCCCACTCCCAAATGCTTTGATGTTATGGTGTGGTCTTTTTACACCTGTAAGGGTGGAAGGACACACAGTTTTCTGTCCTGTAGGTTAATCATCTCACCTAATAAGATGCAATTTAGAAGCTTAGAGAAGTTAAAGACTTGACTCAGGTCACACAACTGTTACCAACAAGGTTGGGGTTAGGACTGGGTTCCATAAGGGTCCATGACTCTTAGAACCTGCCACTCCATTAGGCATAATATCACAAAACATTCAAGGAAAATAATTTAGAGGATCCATATGAATTCATTCAGTCTGAGACAACCCCATCTTTGGTGTTGGGATCACTTGAGTATTGTGGAAAAAGTCTGCAAAGAAATGCTAAGGCGGATTGTTGAAGAATTTCATGCTGGTGGCAGCCCTATATATTTCAGAAACATTATCAAGAATATGAAGACAGTCTCATTTTCATCCTGGATTGTAAATTTGCTGTTATACCTCAGGTTCTCCAGTAAGAGAGACCTCTGTGTTGGAAAGTCCTGTGCATGTTTGTGATATGTAATATGGTTAATTACATTCTACATTCCAAAAAAAGTTAGAAAATGGTGTGAAAATAACAAATACAGGATCAAAGATCCATAATATTTGAAGTTAGGACAGTCTTAAAAAGAGTTAAGGTATATGATTACTCTAAGCACATGTATGGCAGCTATTCTGGAGAGAAGGAAGGAAATTATGTGTTAAATCTCCAAATGTTAACATTTTTTAAAATTACAGATTTAGAAAGCAAGGACTATAGTCCTGTTAATAGACTGTCTAATGTTCTAATCTTTGTTTTAGTGCAAAGAGCACTTTTGCTCTATTTCAGCTTAGAAAGCTGGGGTGATGTGATTAATGGTAGAACCCAGGAATATGTCTGCTTAGGAGTTGAAAACAGAACTCTCAGATGCCTCTGATGATTGAAATGCCACATCAAGGAGAACTGGAAATATGTCCTGGATATGAGTGGGAGAACATAGGCAGAAACATAGAAACACTGCACGAAAGAGTTTTGGTGTAAAACAAAATGAGTGTCTCATGATGCTGTTGACAGAAGAGATAGTTTTAGTGTTGGTAACAAGGATACTGGACCAAGGGAAATTTTTCTTTTTGTTCTAACTTATTTGACGGTTACATCCAAGACTGAAGAAATGAAGCTTCAAATATAAAAAGAAATGATTTTAAAAAACCATCATATCACCCAAAATGTCCTTGGAACTCATTCCATTTGTCTTTGTTCTCTAGGCGGCACTTCGTTCCACAATGGCCTCTCTTGCTGCAGCAAATGCAGAGTTTTGCTTCAATCTGTTCAGAGAGATGGATAACAATCAAGGAAGTGAAAATGTGTTCTTTTCTTCCCTGAGCATCTTCACTGCCCTGGCCCTGGTCCGTTTGGGCGCACGGGGTGATTGTGTTTCCCAGATTGATAAGGTCAGTCTCCATTATGCCATCACCCATGATTTCTGCAATTAATCATTTAGGGCAAATTGTTTCCTACAAGAGCATATTCTACTGCAATGGTCCCATGTAAATGAAGACATCTCAAAGAGTCCCTCTCCGGGTGTGAAGAAGTCTCACTGCTCGTAGCACTTGTTTTTGATATGAGAGACAGCAGGAACATACTCAGAACTGTCGCTTTGATTCTTTTCTTTAGTATAGTGGTTCTCGAAATGCATTTCCTAGACCAGCAGCATCAGCATCACCTGGAGAATTCGTTAGAAATGCAGATGCTTGGGCCCCACCTGAGACCCACTGAATCAGGAACCATGGGGATGGAGTTCAGCAATCTGTGGTTTAATAAACTCCCCAGGTGCACACTAAAGCTTGGGAAACCACTGCCTAATAAACAAATTAGTAGTCAAGTAGATAAGAAAGAAGAACAAGAAGATACCAATGAAGTCCCACTTTAAATATGAGTGACCTGGGTACCAAAGACATAATAGTACATTCCAGATAATAGCAGCCTGCCTGCACGGTTATCACATTGTCATCAACACCTTTAGAAAGTACTTTTTAACTAACCCATGCACACTACCCTGAACCATGCTGTGCAGGGAAGTGAAACAGTCATGGAATTGCAGTAGCTCAGTAGCAGGTGAGATGCCAGGCCTAGGCTGGTCTTTATCATCCCTTCCTGCCCGCTGGTTCCCCCCATATTCTAGTTCATAAAAGAGAGCTAGGGGAAGATTGTCTGCGTTGCAACCTTTCACAACTAAGCACTTGTTGAAGATTGTTCGTGCAGATACTTTAAGCTAGGGTGATTTGTTTCTCCCTCTGGATAGCTCACTGAATATTTGTTGCTAGGGAAATAACCGCAGAGTCTCAGAATGCCTTTTTTCCAAGAGCTGGAGTGATTCCCAGTTGCAGTATGTTGAACACCTTTAATGAGCTGATAACAACTAACTGCTGAGGACTTCATCAGTGTTAGGCTGTGGGATAGGTTCCATGGGTACCTTATTTGCTGCTCACAATAACACTGACGTAGGTACTATTACCCGGATTTTGTGTGTTCCCATACCATCTTAGCTAGTAAGTGGCAGAGCTATGTTTCAAATTCAAGGTGATATCCTAAGTCAGAGTCTCTAAACCTTGGCCCTACAGACATTTTAAGGCAGATAACTCTTTGTTGTGAGTGGCTTTTCTGTGCCCCGGAGAAGGCTTAGCAGCATCCTTGGCCTTTTCTCGTTAGATACCCACTAGTGTACCTCTCTTTTGTCGTGACAATCAACAGTGTCTCCAGGTATTGCCAGATGTCCCCCACGAAGTAGAATCAACCCACAACTGAGAACTATTTGCCTTAAAGCCGCCAAACTGAGATGCAGCCCTAAGTACATTATTGAAAAGCCTCAGTTATTTTAAAGTTGGGATTTTGATCAACAAATCTAAAGCCTTTGGGAAAGAAAAAACTTAGCAACTCATAAAAATGTATTCATTCATTAGTATAAATACATAATGTTTTAGAACCTAGTAAGGCAACTTGATGTCATGGAAACAGATCATTGGCCTGCGAGTTAGAAAGTTAGATCCAAATTCTGATTTGGGAAAATTAGTTCACCCGTGTGGGCCTCAGGATCCTTACCTGTAAACTGTGGGGGTTGCTTTGGTGGCATCCACCTAAGATAGTCTCCAGGTTGTTCCTGTTCCATATGTTAGACAAAGATGGATCGGCTCCACACCCCACGCCTTTAACACAACAGAAGGCAGTTATTTATTGTTGTATGATTTCAGTTTAGGAACATTCTCAGGCTATTGCCTGATTCATTTCTTGAGGTCTCCTTGCCCCCCAGCTGCCATGTGAACTCGGGTCAATAGCTCATGGGAGGTGGGTCACAGTGAATTCAAAGAGCCTTTCCTACCAGGATCTGCTCTTTTTACTGTCACTGGTGGATTCTGTACCTTTCCTGAGTTACTTCTTACAACCCTTGCTATTATGACTTCCTATAAGAAACATGTAAGAGGGGAGAAAATGGCAACTGTAGAGACCGAAACACTCATATAATTCATTTGTACAAATATTTAGTTGTCTGCAGTATTCCTTCTTGGAAATTGTTAGCCTTCCCCTACAGCCCCCCAATCCTATCCCTTGTAATACCTGGCACTTGACTGGTATATATATAAAAGAGAAATCCAGCCTCAATCAATTTATTTATAATTTATGGCATCCATTCATCTGTCTCTCTTAAGTGTTACCATGGATCAGTGGTCATTTTTGCTTTTGATGCTCAGATGGTCACAGTTGGGCCAGTAGAAATCTCTTTAAATTTGTCATTTTAAAGAAATCCTTACAGATGATTAAATCTTTGCTAACTGACAACATGGTGTTCTGGGCCTATCCTGAATTTTCTTGGCTCAAGACAGGCCAGGTTACCTACTCTCAGTGAAGCCCTGGTTCCTTTATTGGATAATAGTAGGATAATAGTATTGAAATCTAGAACTGGCACACATGAGGTTCAGTGGAGTTAAAGTGACATACCAGCTACTTGCCATTTAAGTGAAAGAGAAGAAAAATATATTTATTTATTTATGAGGTCCTGTGTTCAGGACAATATTTTTTCATTTAGCTCTAATATTACTCTACTTCATTATTTTGATATAATGGTTTTTGTTTTATTTTATTTTATTTTTGGAGTAAAAACTAAGTCTTATTTATTTTTTAAGACTGAAACACTAGGAGTATATGTCACAGCTTTGAAACACCAAAGACAGGCTCTATTATCGTTTCAAGAAATAAGTTGGCAAAAATATAGCTAGGTCTTTATCAAAATGATAAGGTGCTAGAGCTAGGGCAGGACCACTACGTGATACAAAGGCCCCAGGCAAAAGTGGTACTTGGTAAGGGGTATGGCTTCCCATACCCAGTGTAGCGTCACCTCTCATGTTTTTGCAGGGTCTCCTAGCTGAAAGATGTACTGTGTATTTCAAGAAATGCATATCCACATCTTCTTGGCCGGAAACAGATATCCACAAGTAACTGTTCGAAGTTCAAAATTCTTATTCAAACTACCTCTCCCAACTCCACATCTTAAATCAACTTAATGCCCTCGTATAATAAAACAAAAACCAAGTAAAATAAAGACTAAGAAACCTTTTTTCCCCCTTCTAAATTAGTGACCTCATGGATTTTGTTTTATAGCTTATGGAAAATGATTTGGTGAAACTTCTGGTAAAACAGGGTTGGCAGCAAACAGAAACACCTCTGCTTACACTAATATAATCGTTTTTATTTTTATTTTTTTTAAAGATTTTTATTAATTTTTTCATGAGAGACACAGAGAGAGGCAGAGACATAGGCAGAGGGAGAAGCAGTCTCCCTGCAGGAAACCTGATGCGGGACTCGATCCCAGGACTCCAGGATCATGACCTGAGCCAAAGCAGATGCTCAACCACTGAGCCATCCGGGTGCCCTGGTCATGGTAGTTTTATTGTTAAATGTCTAATAGCTTAGAATTTTTGAAAATATAAAAATATATATATATCACCTCAATATTGTACCGGTCCAGTTTACTAAAAGCCAATTAGGAATATCAGAAGAGACAACTAGATTTTATCAAAATAGAGTAAAATTAGAAATGATCAAAGAACGATAGTAAATATTTATACTTGTTGAAGCTTTTTTCAAAAACTTCACAAGAATGACTTCTGGGCATTCATATACTTTTTTATAATATTGGTTTCACAAGAGTTAAACCAACTATAAACTTGGTTTCAAAAGAATTAGTTCTGAAAAGACAGCATTTTTGAGTCCTGACACTATACCATGATGTTTTATGTTTCTGGTACTTCTGAATTTTCCCAAATACCAGTCTATCTAATGCCAAGGCAAAATGAGAAAGGGGCCTGATATTTTTCATGCTCCACAATGGCATAGAGCTTGGAGGCGGGCGGGATGATATCTGGATGCCAAGGATGGTGTCTCAATGCCTGCAAAGACCCCATCAGTGAATTTTAAATTGACTACTAATCTGATAAGATTTGCCTTGTTGCCTTTGCCTTATCTCTTACTCTACCTCAATATTAATTATTATTCTAGAGTAAGAGGATGTAGAAACTGAGGTAGGTTCCAATTCTCTGTGACCTATTAAGACTAATAGTGACACTCCTAGTCTTCATACGATCTCATATGTCTTACTGAGCTGTTCCATTTCTTCCTAGCCAATAAGATGGTGCTGTCAGTTAGGGGTTTGAAGTCTTGAAGTTGATTGCTCCCACAGAGGCACTGATAGCAGCATTGACTTAATTAAATTCCCATACATGATTTCTTTACCCAGTGTCAAAGTGGTCTTTCACCCCTTCTCCCTACTTCCCTACTTCTACCTCCCACTAGCTTCAAATATGGCACATATGACCCCTTAAACCTACACCCTTCTACAGAAAATCTTAGCTGTCTCGGTGTATCTGGGAGGCAGCGCACACTCAGTTTGCTCCAGACAGTTGCATAAATGACCACCATATACATAGTATATTCTTATCACTTCCTAAGAGAGAAGCTGTTTTGCATTTCAGAACCTGTGGATGTAAGGGCCTGGGGAAATTCAGGTAAAGTGCAATAGAAAATTAAAGCTTGAGCAGAATAGCAATTATTAAAATAATAGGATTAGGAAAGCCACGTTGGAAAAGGAAAAACCTAAAACTACCCAATTTCAGATAATCGCAGGATCTTCTTTATTTTTTCCTCAAATAGTCGCAGGATCTTAAATTACATCTCTCAAGTCCCAATTTAGCTTCACATTTAGGACTTCCTAGATATTCAGTAACTACGTCTCCCTTTTATGTCTTGATGCCTACGTATTTAGCCTTAATCTTGCCCACCACGTAGCTAAATAAAATTTCTTATTTGATTCTTTTTGATCCTTGTCTAGGTTTAATCAGTGAGTAACTGTTAAATTGCTCCACCAGAATGAGCAAACCAAAATAACTATCAAGCACAATCCATTTTGTAGCCATCGATTTATTACCTCTGCCAGCTTGTGGCACTTTCCCCAGTGAATAATCTGTGTCCTAACCAAGTCAATAGGGGGGCTGCACCTGTCACGTGTGCCCTGTGTGCTTCCAAATACACACACAAACACAATCATTGACTATGAAGTCTCTTCCTTAACTTTATTTTGTGGGGTCCCCTACTGTCGAGCAGGACCTAACTGCTTTCCTTGCTCCCCGTTTGCAGATGCTTCACTTCAACACAGCGTCAGGATGGGGAAGCTCTTCTAACACTCAGGTAAAGACAACATGCCAAAAAAGAATGTGAGATTAAATTTAGAGAAATTACCATCTCACCGATGTAGTTAATTATGCTTAGTGTCCTGTCAAAGCCAAGGACTATGTCTCACTCAGATTTCCACAGTGTGGCATCTTAAGTACGAATTTTGATAATTTACTTGTTAATTATAAATTTACCAATATTTGTGTGTGTGTTGGTCAGATTTTGGCAGATTTTGCATTTATCCTTTGATATTCACAGCCAATTTATATTGGTAAAATGAACTATTTAGTATACATACAAGGTAAATTCATTATCTGCTGTTAACAATTTTGTTCTAAGGTTAATTATTTTGGTAAAATTTTTAATTAATGTTGATTACAGATACTATTATGAGAAAGGGCCAGAAATTGTAAATATAGGTAGCATTGCTGCTTTTACAAGCATCATAATTTTTCAATTCTTTTCTGGTATAATATACATGTTTTATTTCTTGTGTAAGTAAGAGTGCAGTTATATTTGCAGTCCTGTAATACAGTTTTATGAATCTTTTTAATAACAGCCAGGACTTCAATCTCAACTGAAAAGAGTCCTCTCTGATATAAACACATCCCATAGGTATTACGAGCTCAGCATTGTCAATGGTCTTTTCGCAGAAAAAGTGTTTGACTTTCATAAGGTAAGTGTGGTCTCCTGCATCACAGGTGATTTCTTCTCTGGACACTAGTCTCGTTCAATCCATTGTCTGCAAAGGGACTTGTGTCTTTCTAGGGAGCCTTACAATGGAGATTTTTTTTTCTTTTTCTTTTTCTTTTTCTTTTCTTTTTTATTTTTTTAGATTTTTTTTTCTTATAGCTGCTAATGATGTTCCCAGATGTCTTCGAAATTTCATCACTCTGTTTTCAGAGTGCAGTTCACTTGAGCCAAGTGATCCCCATACTCAGGGTCAGCAGACTTCGAGGCTCCAAACCCCTGTCCTCTGGCGGTGATGCGGAGCTGTAACCGGGTGGGAGGAGCAAGCAACCCATTTAGGGTTTTCTGTGGGCAGCAGAGGAAACAGCTTTTCCTCTGAGCTTCGTGTCTCCTGGGATGGCTGTGGATCCCCAGGGCTGAGTCCCCCCCTCTGTTCTCAGCCATGCTTTCATCTGTCCTGCCAACAGTAACGTTGCGGTGAGATCACTGACCCAAGGGCCCCTTGTGTGGGACTTAGGATAAGGCCAGGCAGCAGCAGGGAAGTGAGCGGAAGGCAGAGGATTGGTTCACTCGAGGTCAGCAGGCGAGTTTTCATGTTACTTTGTGGTGTCTGTGTTATCACTGCATTCACCACCCAAAGACCAGTGTGACCCAGACCACACCCTACACGCCACTGGGCTCAACCCACGCTTTAGAGCCACCATCGCTGGGGCGACCAGGCAGGTTAGTACTATTGAAGCAGATGCAAGGGCCATGATTTTCTGGGCGTGCTTCTTCTCCCTTTGAGTTCCCCACTTGTCAGACGACCACAGAGCTTTGCTTCATGACATCTCTGGGCTGATCTCCACTTGCCTCTTGGCCAGCTGTCTGTGTTCCACCCAGCCATTATTGTCTCTCCAGTCACCCACACGGATTCTCTGCCTTCCTACACCACTCCCAAACCCTTTGGCAGCTGGCCAAGTCTGAAGCATGAGGCCACTTTGTGTTTTAATCTCTCCAAAGGAATCCTACCGAAGCTTTACAGGGGCCACCCTCTGTGTTCAGCTGCACATTTTGTGCCTCTTTTCCCACACATGCTGCAGAGTCCCTGAGGGACTGCTAGCTCTTTAACCTGGAGGTTGATGTGTATGTCATGTTACTATTTATAGCACATTTCCATGTTACTTTATCTGGCACTCAGTGTGTGCACCCAGCGCGGTGAGGGTGACATCCGATCACCAACATGGAAAACAGACACTGCCATTTCTACCGTCCCAAACCTTTATAAACACAGTTAGTTACTCTAAAAACTACTTTGCACTGAAAATGTAACTATTGTCGTCAACGTTCGGTTGTCAGACCAGTGCAAAGATAGATCATCTCCCAAGTATTTTTCCTTTTGTTGTGTAACAGTTTTTTACTCATATTTGAGTATGGATGAGTCCAACAGAATTGCTAAAGATAATAATAATGTATGAATTGTCTTTACAAAAAAGTATGTAGAAGACCCAACCACCATCTCTGTTGCCTTCTCCTCCCTCTTCCCCAAATCTGTGCTACATCTGTCTTGGTTGGTCGGACCTCTGTGAATGCCATTCCTGCCCCCCAGCTCTGCCATCATCTCGGGTAACTGAAGGTTCCCCAGGGACGCTGAAGAGGACACCCAGCTGTGAGCACAGTCACGGTGCTCACAGTGACCCTCCCTCTATACCACTACAGTAACAAATGCCCAAGCCACACCCTGAAACTCATCAACGCCCAGAACTGTTGCACTCCTGAAATCTACAACTGGAGTTGCCTGTCAGTGGCCACATCATTCCATGCTTCTTGTTCTTTCGTTATTTCAGCCCCACCCTACCTGTTCTTCAGCTGCAGTGAGTTATGCAATTTTTTTAATCTCTCTGTCGTCTCTCAACGTATCAGCTCTCTCTTTCCCCCAGCAAAGCCCCATCCGGATCAGTCCCATGACTTCCCCCAGCAGCTGTTCCTTGGCCACCCACTACCCGACACTTGTGCTGTGTGTGTGTCTGTGTGTGGTCACCAGCATGATGCCACTGGCTCCCAGCCCTGCTAGGTGTTCTCTGTGCTGCCCAGCAGTCAGCTGGGTGCTCAGTAATTTCTTTCTCTCATTCCTCCCAACACTTACTGAAAGCTCTTCTGCCTCTCTCAGTTTCCCAACAAACCCTTGTGGCCACCCTCAGTTTCAACTAGTTCTGTGCCATGAGCTCTAGATCTCTGATACGTTAGATCCATCCAGTTGGTCCTGGGGCAGGAGAAGGGCCCAGGGCTATGGGTGCCCAGGTGAGGACCAGGAGCCATGGGATTTGGTGGAAATGTCCCTGGGTTTTCTTCAGCACACATCCTGTCTCCCCTGGTCATCAGAATTACGACAGCAACAGGGTGTCAACCATGGCCTTCCGGTGTGTGGGTGGATGTCTGGGTCATCTGGGATAGCCCGAGACCTCAGGGTGACACCCCTGTGCTCCTCAGAACTGCTGCTCTGGGCTCCATGGGTGACTAGCCAGCGGAAGGGACCACCCGCACACCCACTGCTGTCTGCCTGGCCAAGATCAAACACTTGACTCGGTCCTAATTTTACAATCGTTTGTCGTCTTCACCTCAAAAATAGACTTTCCATACTTGGCACAAGCACCTTTAAATTTCAAACTTTTTTTTTAAGATTTTATTTATTTATTAATGAGAGAGAGAGAGCAGCAAAGACACAGGCAGAGGGAGAAGCAGGCTCCATGCAGGGAGCTTGACATGGGATTCGATCCCTGGTCTCCAGGATCAGGCCCCAGGCTGTAGGCGGCGCTAAACCCCTGAGCCGCCTGGGCTGCTCCCCCCCCTTTTTAAAATAGGAATTTACTTTAGTACTTAAGTGAAAATACATGTTGTAATATACATAGGATAAATATTTTAGTTCTGGATAGGCAATTTGATCTTAAAATTAATGGAAGAATTTTCAAGAGACACAGTGTGGCTCTTTCTTAACGATGAACATATGATAGAAGTTTGCGGAACAGACTGTATATAGAGAAAAAACCTAGACTTGTGTTGTTTTGTATTCCAGCTTCTCTTCTACAGGTAGAAGCACATTCACCACAGAATAATGTATTTTCTTATTTAAGCAATAAATTCCCATCTCCACTTGTCTTCTACTTGACAAAGAAAACAGAGACCATCATGGGTGATCCATATCACCGACTCACACCCGGCTCCCTTTCCTCTTTCCCTTCATTTTCAGAGGGAACACTGTTTAATGGATAATTTTTCCATTTCTTCTTGCCACCTCACTCCCCACCCAAGTTTCTTGGTGATATGTTTCCGTCAGTATTTTTCCTGAACTTCCGTCACTCTACTGTCTTCGCATATAAATGTGCTCCAGAGACAAATCTTCTAAATTTTTCTCTTCTTTTTTTTTTTAAAGTTACCCCATGATTCTCTTCTCATTTTTGTGTTTCTCAGTCTGACAATCTAAACTTGAAAAATCAAATTTCTTCAGAGTGGTAAATCTAGGCAGGATCCATTTTTTTCACCCTCTCTCACTACTCTAGCTATTGCACACTAGCTTCTACCTTCTACATTCTCCTGAAGCTGCTCTTACCAAGGTGACTGATGGCTTCCAATGGACACCAAGCTATGGACACCAAGCTATGGGCACCTCGCAGTTTTGGTCTTACCTGCCTCTTTAGTATTCAACACTATTGGAGCTCCCTGAAACTTTCCCCTCTCATAGTTTCTATGGCATTGATTTCTCCTGGTTTTCTACCTTCTTCTTCATCTCATTTTCCTTTGTTTATCTTTATTCCTTCACTTATCTCTGAAATACTGGTGTTCGTTAGGGTTCTGCTATCAGACCTCTAACACTTTGAGTCTACTCTTTTACCCGGGAAGAGGTGATCAACTTGAAAGTGTGTAGTTCCTTGACTCTGTCCTCCATAACTCCACAGTTCTCTGTGGCTGTATGATGAATCATTCCTCACCCAGAGTGCTATGCTCATCTCTCTACCTGCCTACTACAAATCCTCAGGGTCTATGGATTCTTCAGCACACCATCTCTCCTGTCCCCACATATTCTCCAACCCCTGGGTTCTCTTTCAGTGAATGACTTACCAAGTATTTTGATCAACTCTGACTTATCCCTTTCCTGGAGCTTCATAGTGCATCAGAAAAGAAGACCTAAGAGGTTTTCCTTCTACTTTCAAAAGAAAAGTTATTTTGAAATAATTTCTTTTTTAAAAAAGATTTTATTTATTCATGAGAGACACACAGAGAGGAGAGGCAGAGACACAGGGAGAGGGAGAGGGTCCATGCAGGGACCCTGAAGTGGGACTCGATCCCAGATCCCCGGATCACACTCTGAGCAAAAGGCTCAGAGTGAGATGCTCAATCACTTAGCCACCCAGGCGTCCCTTGAAATAATTTCAAACTCACATAGAAGTTGCAAGTATTGTAGAAAGAACATTCCCCCCCTGGACCATTTGAGATGCTTTATCATATTTGAATAGTTTCATGTAATTCCTACAAAAAATGATATTCTTCTAAATAATCATGATACAACCATCAAGATCAGGAAGTTAACAATTTACATTAGTATCAGCTTATCAGCTTATCTTTCAAACCTTTTGAGTTTTACCAGTCAGCCCAACATCATCCCCTCATAGCAAAGGATTTAGTCAGAGTCATGCACTATATTCTGTTGTTGACTCACTTTTAGTCTTAGTCTCCTTCAATTTGGAACATTTCATAGCCTGTTTTGACTTTCATGATCTTGACAATTTTGATGATATTCACAGTGTCCAGTTTTAGGCCAGGTATATTTTAGAATGCCCTTCAGTGTGGGTTTGTTTGATGTTTCTTCATAATTAGAGTTCCATTTTTCCCCAGTTTGACTGAAATATGATTGATATTGATATGTAATATTGTATAAGTTTAAAGCGTATGGCATGTTGATTTGATACACTTATATATTGTGCGAGGATTATTGCCATAACATTAGCTAACACTTGCACCAGATTTGATGGAAACATCCAGTGTTTTGTTTTATTGTGTTATCCCTATTGCACACCAGCAGGATTCTGATTTATCCCATTGCTTGTCCTGCCATCTTTGATTATGTGATTACACAGATATGCTGGGTTTCACTGTTGTGAAGTTCCTCCTTTTCCCCTGTTGTTAAGTATTTTGTAGGGAACTGCTTTCAGGCTGTGTAAATATCTCATTCTTGAGAAAACGTATTTATTTATTTGTTTGTTTATTTATAGCAATATGGACCCATGGTGTCTTTTGTTTTAGCCAAAAGGTTATAATCCATCATATTATTTTCATGCTCAAATTATTTCTTCTATTGGCATCTGTGTTTTTTTTGATAGGCCCCCTTCATTTGAGCACTCTCTGGCACCATGAGATGTTCCAATCTCATCTTCTTTTCCTGTTTTAGTCCTAGAATCAGCCATTTCTCCAGGAGCCCTAGTTCTTTTTAAGGAAGATACATGCATATATTAAATGCGTGTTCATCTCTTTACTTGTATCTAATGAAACTCATGAGTTCCTATTGGTATCTCCAATTTCCATTAATACACCACAGGGTTCATTTTTTTGTTTTCTGTCTTCCTATGTTTGTTTATCTCTCTTCTCTAATAGTGAGAAGTCTGGCTGACATTATTCTTATATATTTACTTGTTTGATCCACCTCCTTCTATGTAACCAATCTCCTATCACTGATGCTGTTGCCCCTCCCAGTGTGAAAACACCTTCTTCATCCCATGAGAGATCTGCCCCTCCATGTTAGGCTGTTTCTCCACGAGAATACTTCCTCCCTCCACTTAGTCCCCCACACCCCATGGTGAGCTGCCTACCACAGAGATGTCACTCCCACTTTTTTGTGCTTTGACACCCCACATGGATGCCCATCTCACACTATTTAAGATCTAGTATCTGCATAAGGACTCCCCTCCTCAGGGATGCCTCAGGACTTTGCCTGAACTTGAATTCCAGAGCTGGGCTTCCCTGACAAGGCAATGTGTTCTTCATCTGCTTTGGCCACTCAAACTTTGTGCTGAATGGCTCCTCACTGTGATGGGGCTATGCCATCCAGCCCTGCCACAGTGGTCCTCCCCATCCTGAGATGTATACCTACCTAGATTCGCCCCTCCTTATGGCTTTGAGTCTGAATGGTTCAAGAAGGAAATGGAAGGGTAGGGGATAAGAAAAGAGCTAGTTCCACCTTCTAGTGCATTTCTAACATTTGTCTTGTCTTCCCCATGACCCTGGAAATTGCTAGTGCCTCGGTTCAGGACCTCTTTACATCCTTCAGGATAAACTATTAGGACACTTTAACAAGTCCTTCTATTTCCAATCAGTTTTATTTTCTGTGCTGATTTCAGAGTCCCCTTTATGAAATGTACATTTAAATATTATTCCTCTGTTTAAATGCTTTAAATAACTTACTCTAAAATAAAATGAAAGCTCCTTGTCAAGGGCAACAAGACACTCACGCTCTTCCTCTGCCCTGGCTCCATTTCCATCTTCTACACATGCTTCCATCAGCACAAATTCCTGTTGGTCTTCTGAGTGTCCAAAGATCCTCCTACTCCTCTGAGGGTACTATTGCTTGGAGTGCTCACCTTTTCTGCTTGTTCTCATCAACTTGACTTCTTTTCTTCTTTTTTTTTTTCTTTCTTTCAAGTGCAGGCAAAGTCCAGGGGCTTGAGCTTCCTTTTTTAAGTACAAGAAGTAGCCTGAAAGCCTTCTTAATGTTTTCAGTAGGAAGGGGGTGACAAAAGCAAGAAAGATAAGCTAAGACACTGTTGAAGTATTTATAGTGAGAAAGCAGTGGTAAAGCCAAGGGAGTGGTCTTTAGATGTAATCCTAATCAGCCTCTCCCTAATAAACATAAGTTCAAATAGCATGCTTGCTGTGCAAATTCAGTTTCAGGTTCTCCAGCTCCTGTCTTAGCCATGTTCTCATATTTCTAGCCATATTTCCTCATTTTTGAGTGAGGAATGAGTCTTTGAGTTAGATGGTGGAAATGAAGAGATGAGTTCAAAAACAGATTTCTTATATGCTTAGTTGATGGTGATTTATGACTATAAGAACTGTGTATTACTTATAGAACTGTAATTATTTATATTTATAGGACTATATTGAGTGTGCTGAAAAATTATACAATGCCAAAGTGGAACGAGTTGACTTTACAAATGATGTAGAAGATACCAGATATAAAATTAATAAATGGGTTGAAAATGAGACACATGGTGAGTGCAACCCTATTTTTCTATAAGATTTGTCAGTGATATGTGAATACTAACAATAGTCAAGTTTAAAGCTGGAAGTTTTGGGGCACCTAGGTGGCTCAGTCTGTCAAGTGTCTGTCTTTGGCTCAGGTCATGATCCCAGGGTCCTGGCATAGAGCCGCAAGTCCTACTCCCTGCTCAGGGGGGCGCCTGCTTCCCCCTCTCTCTCTGCCCCTCCCCACCTGCTCCTGTTCCCTTCCACTTGCTGTCTTTCTCTCAAATAAATAGATAAAAAATCTTTAAAAAATACAGGTGGAAGTCTTTTGTAAGATATGCAAGGAACAGTTCCTCCTAATCCAAAGTAATAGTTGCTGTTATTGAATATTGCTCAAGCACTGTTGGTGGGAAGACACATTGGTGCAGCCACTATGGAAAACAGTATGGAGGTTCTTCAGAAAATTAAAAACAGAATTATCAATATGCTCCAGGAATTCCACTACTGGATATTTATCCAAAGAAAATGAAAACATTTATTTGAAAAAATATATATATATGCCTGTGGCTATTGCCCCATTATTTCCAGTAGCCAAGATGTAGAAGCAACCATATGTTTATTAGTAGATTAGTGGATAAAGAAGATATATATATATATGTTGATATATATATATATCAAGATATAGATAGATAGATAGATAGAAAGGAATATTACTAAGCCATAAAAAGAATGAAATCTTACCATTTGCAGCAACATGGACAGACCTAGAAGGTATAATGCTAAGTGAAATAAGACAGAGAAACACAGATATTATGATTTCATTCATACATGGAATTTAAGAAACAAAACAAAGAAAAAAGATACAAACAAAAAACTGACTTAAATGCAGAGAAAACAGGTGGTTGTTATCAAAGGGGAGGTGGGGGGGAGATGAAATAGGTGAAGGGGATTAACAGTACACTTACTTCGATAACCACTGAGTAATGTATGGAACTGTTGGATCATTATGTTGTACACCTAAAACTAATATAATAGTGTATGCTAACTGTACTTCAACTAAAAAAAATAGAGTGGCAGTTATCAGGGTCTGGGGCTGGTGCATGAAGGAGAGTTGTCCGATGCATTTAGAGTTTCAGTTTTTCGAGATGAAGTAAGTTCTGAAGGTGTGATGCACAGCAAGGCATATATAGTTAATACAACTGACCTGTTAAGATGGTAAATATGATGCTGTATGTTTTTTAATCACATTGAAAAATGGGAAGCAAAAATTCCTCACAATTTTAGCACCTCAGTAAATCACAGTTTCCTTTTCCCATTTTCTTTTTTTTAAATTTATTTATTTATGATAGACATAGAGAGAGAGGAGAGAGAGAGAGAGAGAGAGAGAGAGAGAGAGGCAGAGACACAGGCAGAGGAGAGGGAGAAGCACGCTCCATGCCAGGAGCCCGACGTGGGACTCGATCGCGGGTCTCCAGGATCACACCTGGGCCAAAGGCAGGCGTGAAACCGCTGAGCCACCCAGGGATTCCCCCTTTTCCCATTATCTATTTTAGTCCTTGGCCTCATGCACATAAGTTGACCTAGTTATGTTTGTAGCCTATGTTCACATCTATGTCTAGATTTTTTTCTTCATACTCTATCTCCCACATTTTTACAGACTACTTTGCAATTTTCATGACTATCTAATTGCAAAGAACAAGTATGAAATAAAGAATGTAAACATATCCTCAGTAGCTTTTTATATATATTATATGGTGGAATGATTTGGGATGTATTGGTTAAATAAAATATATTATTAAATAAAAAAGAATTGCTTTCATATTTGTCCACAATGTGGTTCTGAGTATCTTAATAATCTGCATGCTTTATACTTTTCAGAAATCTTATCTATTACATTATCTCATTGGATTGGGAAACAAACCTATGAAACAAATATTGACTTCATTATGACCATTTCATCCATTAGTGACAAGCTGAACTAATTTACTCAGTTATCCTCAATATCTTATACCTGTGTAGTGAACAAAGACTAGAAGACTATAGAACATTATTTTCAGTGACCACAACATAATATTTCATTATAATGATCAATCCAGTATCTTGCTGTTTTTTCTTAAAGAAGCTTATTGAACTTATGACATCCTACTATATGTGAAATATATTTTTATATCATTGCTTCTTCTAAAAGATGCATACTTTATCTTTCATTTTAAAAGCCTCTTCATTTATCAAAATAATATTTGTGGCAATGGTAGTACCTTTCAGAAAAAATACATTGCTTTATTGGTAAGTGTCTTTCATACATCTAAAAACCGATTTCCAGCTGATGTTCTGGTTGAGTCAAAACAAATATGGTATTTTATAATCAACTGATTATAAGCCTGGTCATTTCTTTACTTAAGGCTTGACCCGGATTTATACTCAGAACAATATACCTGTATTTGCTGAGTCTGGTTCTGTCTCAAATATATGAAACATGTGACTTGCATTCTTAAAAGGTAAACATTCAACATACTACAACTGGGAACAAGAATACAGTGTCTCAATTTCCTTTTGTTCATTCATCATTACCTCAGTAGAGGATTACTTTGACCATTAGCCACCACAAGTTTCAAATACACTATTCACAAACTAACACTGTGCCATTGCTTTTCCCAATAACTGAATGGAATTCTATTTAGTGTGTATTTTTTAAGGGTATCAGATTGATAACACCTTTTTCCGTCTGGACCAGTTATTTATTTCTTTTCCTTCTTTTTTCATGCAAATATATGTTAAAATTATTCTTAGTTTGATAAGCATTTGTTCTCAATACTCATTTGGGGGGAACACTTCAAAATGCTGCCAACATACCAACAAACCCACCCAGGTCTTATCACCCCTTCCCCATCCTCCACACATACCAGGGCAGTCCTTTTGAAAGAGAAATCTGACCCATCATGACGGTGTTCTTTCTTATCTTACAATGAATACTGAATAATCATTTTCCATTGCTTTCAGGATAATCCAAAGTTACCACCAGACATGTAGGCTCTTCATTATTTGGTCACTGACTGTAACCTTTCCAACCACTACTTTCCCTAATACATCAGAATGAGTTAGGATTTTCCCAAATATGCTGTGCTCTTCCAGGCTTCCGTGTGTTTAAATAGACAGCCTCTACTATATGCAGCTTCTCTCTGCCTCCCCTTGGCCCTCAGCTCCAGCAGAAGGTCAAGCCAGAGATGAGAGCCCCTAATCTGTGCTCCTACAGCACCCTGAGCACATGGCTGCAGTACCAATGTGTATGGCTCTGTTTGGTTGTTGCCTCCCCTGTGCTGGACCGTGAACCCAATGAGGACAAGGACGGTGCCTTTCATGGTTATGATTCAAGTATCAAGAGTAGGTTTGACATCCAGCAAAAATCTTAATGTAGAATGAAAGAAGTAATTAGCCCAACAGAATGGAGTTGAATTATATTTGGAGGGCTGTGATCTCATTGGGGCAGTAAAGTAGTTTGGTGCTTACAAGCAAGGAGGGCCCTTGGGGAATTGTCTTTCTGGGTTGGAATCCTTTTGCCGTAACTTTCTTGTTGTATGATGTTGTATAAATTATTCCATCTCTCTGTGTTCCATCTTCTTCAACAGGAAGTGAAAACAATAATAGTGCCTGCCTCATAGAGATTTTGTGAGGATTAAACCAAATACTGTACATAAAGTGTTCAGAGAGTACTGGATGGAGTGATTGTTCGTAGATTATTACTAATATCATTTATTATTAGAATTATGTCATAAGGAAAATATCATGTTCAGCTTGTCTTTTTTTTTAAATTACATTAATGGGGTGCCTGGGTGGCTTAGTCAATGGAGCATCTGCTTGTTGATTTTGGCTCAGGTTGTGATCTCGGAGTGGTGAGATCCATGCTCAGTGAGGAGTCTGTTTGAGATTCTTTCCCTCTGCCTCTACCCCTCCCCCTGCTCTGCCTCTCTCTCAAATAAATAAGTCTAAAAATATAAAAAATAAAAATTACATTAAAAATTAACATTTTTTTCTCCATTTATTTGTCCAAAGGTAAAATCAGGAATGTCTTTCAAGAAGATGGCATAAGCTCCTCTGCTGTAATGGTGCTGGTGAATGCCGTGTACTTCAAAGGCAAGTGGGAGTTGGCCTTCAGCAAGAATGAAACCTTAAATTGTCATTTCAAATCTCCCAAGGTATGGAAATATTTTTAATTTAAGAAGTTTTTTTTTGCCAATAGTATTCCTTTGCAGAAATTATGGTATTTATATAGACAAATGAAGGATTCCTCATTTCTTTACTTATTTCTTCTACTGCTTACCAGTGCTTTATGGTGAATTGCTTATAATACAACTTATTTTCCTGATAATGCAGTTTATGGTACATGACTGGAAGTGTCCCGTAAGTCAATATTTCTTAAAATACATTCAAATTTTAGAAAAGTAATAAAGTATGGATTCATTTAAAAGTATTCTAATATTTGGATGCCTATGTCATCAACTTGAAAATATGACAAAAGTGTGCTTTTAGTTTTTTGTAATTCTAACTGTGGGGTGGATAGTTCTAGTCATTTAATATCAATGATTTTCCTGAGGCAAAGCAAGGATGTGTGTCTTTTTACAAAGGAAGAAGTTATATTTAGTAAAGTTACACATTTCCAAGTGTCAGTCTTAACCAACTTTTATAAAACATATATTCTTGTGTGTGTGCGTGTGTGTGTGTGTGTGTGTTTGTGTGGTTACCAATTTGTACACAGTAATCTAATAGTAGAAACATCAAAGGCTTTGGAGTCAAGTTAACTCAAGCACTATAGACCTTCTTATCCTCACAAATGAGGCGATTCCACTAATTGATCTCAAAAGTTTCTTTCAATCACTCAGCCTTTTGAGGCAGAGAAACTCAGGTTAACTTAAAATTAGTTTTATTTATTGAAATATTCTTCCTGCATTTTTCCACATCAGAAATTTGAGACGTAGGAGTACTGAGAGCTGGTGGAAATAAAAGATCACTGAATGAGTGATAAATATTACTATGAATACTCTCGATATTTTTCTTTCATCAAAAGTAAAATACAGACAGTACTATCCAAATCACAAAATTTAAGAATGAAGTCTTATAAAAAAAAATCTATGGTGGTCATTTTAAATTATAATGGGATTTAATGATTATTCATTACTTATTATATAAACATTTTCAGGTAAAACACTAAGTGCAAAGCAGTGTACCAAGTGCTAGGTATATTAACTCATGTAATCTTTTCAACAGTTCTATGCAGTAGAGATTAGTTTTACCCTCATTATACTGGTGAAGAAATAGAGGCACAGAGAAGTGAAGTAACTTGCCCAAAGTTACACAGCTGGGAGTTTTAAACTCAGGCAGTTAATCTCAAAGTCTGAACTGTGAACCACTGCTTGGCAGCAGGTCAGGAAAAATCTATAGGAACAACCAAAAATTGAAGCATCATTTTCATTGTATAAATGAAATAAGGAGGGCTTATAAAAGTTTTTTTGCAACTTGACTTTCAGTGTCCTGGGAAAGCAGTCTCCATGATGCATCAAGAACGGAAGTTCAATTTGTCTGTCATTAGAGACCCACCCATGCAGGTTCTTGAGCTCAAGTATCATGGTGGCATAAGCATGTACATAATGCTGCCTGAGAATGACCTATCCCAAGTAAGTTGCTACTACCACTTTCACCACTGGGGAATTAGAAGATTTTTAGGATGTTATTGATTGTGTTTGTATGCATCCACTTAAAAATTTCAGGTTGTAAGAATTCTTGCATTACGATTTTCATTTAGTTTCATTGTAATTGTGTTTTTTGACATGAACAGCAAGAGGAATGTCATAACGTTGCTATTGATAAATCTAAAGTAACAATATAAAATATTGGTACTCATATTAGGTCAATAATTCGTTTGAGGGACGCCTGGGTGGCTCAGTGGTTGAGTGTCTACTTTCGGCTCAGGGCAGGATCTGGGGTTCCTGGGATTGAGTCCCTCATCGGGCTCCCCACAGGGAGCCTGCTTCTCCCTCTGCCTATGTCTCTGCCTCTTTCTTTGTGTCTCTCATGAATAAATAAATAAAATCTTAAAAAAATAATTCACTTGATAATCTTTATCACAATTAGATTTTGATTCCAAATAATCTACAGTAGTAGAAAAAAGTAGCCCATATAAAACAAACAGCAGATAACTCAAAAGATAGATTTGTTCTTTTACTCATTGTCTACTTTTTTCTTTTCCATAATAGATTTTCTTAAAGATGTTTGGGTCAGTTTAGTATAAATCTATATTCCTACATTATCCTACAGACCTATATAACCCTATGTAACTAAATAATGGGGATTTGGCTTTATGGTGAGCTAAATGAGGAAAAATTCAAATTCAGAATGAGAAATTGTTATAGATTAACTATAAACTGGATCACTTACATGCATAAAATTTAAATTAGACAAAATTTGATTATATAAATTTAGATCCTTGATAAGGATAGCTCTGAAAAGCTCTTTAGGATTCTAGTGAGACTGAATTTGAGAACAGATATCTACCTATAAGATTTGTAAATAATGTGCATGAAAAATCTTCCCTGTATAAGTCTGGACTAGTCTCTCTGATCAATTGTCAGTATTCAGGAGTTGGTGAGCTCCACTTGTGAATTGTTTGGGGCAGCAGTGGTTCTGGAAAGAGAGCCATGGGCTCATAGCTGTGTAACTGAGGTGCCCAGCCAGGCAATTCATCACATTTCCTTACAGTGTCTTGAGCTTCCCTTGTTGCATGTGTTGAGTAGGAGAGTTGACTTGGACCCAAGCCCCCCAGATGGTGTAGGTAATTGTACTGGAAGGTACAGATCACCTAAATAAACCCTGGAGGCTAGACCTCTGGGCTCCTTGCCTTGGGCCCCCTGGGGTTCCACTGGCTATTCCTGCAAGCTATGTAAACAATACCATTTCCTATTACTTTCATGATGGAAAATGGTCAAGAAACACTGGCTTAAATGACCACTGAGCTCCTTTCTCCCTCTGATGATCCTTGCTACCCTAATTCCTTCACCTGCCCACTGTTCCACTTTGGCTATATTTGTTCATATGCAGACTAGAACAGAAATGCCTCGAAATACAAGTAAGCCACACCTTGTCATAGCAGAGTGAATTAAACATGATTTGTTAAAGAGTGCTTTAACTGTGTTAATAATTTCCCATTTTCAGATTCCCCTGAACCCATTGACATTCTTACATGCAAATATCCAGGAGAGGATAATTACGGAAAACCATCTATCTTTGTGGTTGGTGTTTTATCTGTCTCTTAAGCGTATGGTTCTGAATTGCTTTTTCAATATTCCTGCAGATTGAAAACAGGCTGACCTTTCAGAATCTAATGGAGTGGACCAATCCAAGAAAAATGAGCTCTCAGTATGTTGAGGTGTTTCTTCCTCAATTCAAGATAGAGAAGAATTATGAAATCAAACACCATTTAAGAGCCCTGGGGCTGAAAGACATCTTTGATGAATCCAGAGCTGATCTGTCTGGTATAGCTGCAGGAGGCCGTCTGTATGTGTCCAAAATGGTGCACAAGTCCTACATAGAGGTCACTGAGGAGGGTACAGAGGCCACTGCTGCTACAGGAAGTAACATCGTAGAAAAGCAGCTCCCCGAGTCCAGGGTATTCAGAGCTGATCACCCATTCCTCTTCATCATCAGGAAGAATGACATCATCTTGTTTAGTGGCAAAGTCTCTTGCCCTTGAAAATCCAGTTGGTTTCTATTATAGCAGTCCTTCCCATGTCAAGGAACCACCACAGGAGAATAGATTTGAATGTAATGGAAGCACGTGGTATTTCCTTTGTGTTTACTTTCTTCTCATATTGATCAGCGGATGACTTTGGAAACTTGACCCTTTATGGACACCTGGTTGGTTGTCCTGACCCTGCTTGAACCTTTCTACTACCATGTGCCTCACTCATCTCTAAGTTCTTTCTCTTTTTGCCCCAACTCATTCCTACCATCTTGCCACCCTCCCCTCCCCCGCCCCTATAGCCCCTTGGACCCAGAGCTGAGCATCATGTCTGGGAACAGTTGGTGATGACAAAGCAGCCCTAAAGATTTGTCAGAAACTCTATAGTTATCCTGGTTACTCAGTTTCATCATAGATGAGCTTCGAAGGAAGTCCAGCTGCTGGATGTAGGTGTGAGGGATATTCTTTCCCTGCTGACCTAGAAAGACATTAGAAAGCTTCCTTTCACACACCCGATTTGAGATCAGTGTTGAATTTAGATGCCAAAAAATATAGATTTGGGTTTGGGGGACAACTAAAATATTTCATTAATAATTTCAAGTTCATGTCTTTCCATCTTTCCTTGATATAGACTTTTTTTTTCCCTTGGTAGAGACTTAACATGTACATAGTTTTTCAAATATTATGTATCTTTGAACTACTGCCATTTGTTATTTATGGTATATATTTCATGAGCTGTGTAGTTTGTTCTCTGTTTATCAGAATAAATAAATACAACACGGCTGTACCGTGTGATTGTTTTCTCTGACCAATTGTGAGGGCACCAGCCTTTATTTGCTAGGCCAAACAAATCAGCAATGAATAAAAAGAATATTTTTTAAATATAAATCTGATCTGGTTCAATGTTGCTAATTTGTTACACATGAAAGTTACTTTAACAGATACGTAGACTCATAAGGTAATTTTAAGTACTAAAATTTAAGTTCATTAGGGAAAGGATTTGCATATATGAAAATTTGTAGTAAGGTGTAAGTAACTTTGTAAGACAGATCAAAAGTAGAGAATAAAAAAAATAGAGAATCAATAGGCCAACCTGAACTCACTCAGGATTTTAGAAACAGTAGCAGCCTATTGGATTATGTTTTTATCACAAAAGACTTTCACTTGAATAAGAACTGAATAAACCTGGAGTAGTCTATAACATGGCCCTGTGGTGCATAATATTAGACCTGGCAGGTACTAGATTTTCAACAAATGTGGGATGCGTGAATATGGTATGAATGAGTTAATGTGACATGATTTGAGAGATGTAGAAGTTTCTGACCAAAATAATTGCTAACCTGCCACACCTGAAATAACTATTGTGCCTTTCAGAGACATTTATGGTGGGGGGCAGTGAAATTTAACTGGTATGCAGTGGTGTGTGTGTGTGGGGGGGTGGGTGGGTGTGTGTTTGAGGGACTGATTTTTCTGATTAACCATTCGCACCTATTGCCATTCAAAAATGACATACTTTTAAGATACAAGAAGAGGGTACAGGAGCATGCATTCTGATGGTAACCATGCTGTTCAGAAGCATGGACACTCTTCACTGCTGATAGCGTTTTCTGGACAGCCTTGGCAGAATTCACAGCTGCTGAGGCTTGAAGCAAGCAACACGGAGAATGAGAGTTTGGTCAGTGAGGAAGTAGTGTGGAAAAATTGGTGTGAGCTTTCCCTACAACTTCAGTTGTTTGGTCTGCCCATATGTCCACCCCATGGTTAAGGGCCCCAGCTCATGCGGAGAAGGGCTACCTTGTCTAGTCGTGATCTAGGCTTAGTTTGGTGTTACTTCCAGAAGCCTGAACAGCTTCTGAAACTGGGGCTGTTGTGGAAGCACTTTTGCTTCCCATGAACATTGTGAATATATCTGAGGCTTGGTGACAGCAAAAGAGACATCTGTTGAACTTCTCTTAGTATTGGGCTTCAGGCTTCTTGGGGGCAAGATTGGTTTAGTATCCCAACATCCCTAGAACAATACTTAATGTATGGTAGGCACTCAGTGTGTCTTTAGAGTAAATGTAGCGGGTGGCCCTAAGGGTGTGACTTGGGGTGGAAATGAAACCTCAGTGACCACTTCAGTAGAAAATCAAGCCATTGAGCTTGAAATCAATTTCCTTTCATACATAGATGACTTTTTATCTTTTAGGATCATGTGTGTTTCAATCTGCTTATTTTAACAATAGGTATTTCCAAAATTCTTCTCTTACTCAAAATTCTCACTATATATGATCCCGTCTGAACACATGGCTTCTGTAATAGCTGATGACACTTAGCTTAATGCTTAATTTCATCCAAATTCATGACTTCCCCCTGAAAAGTCCACCTAAATGTCCTGGAGTAAAGCTAAACATGTCTCAAGCTAAAACACATCACCATCTTCCGCATGATCTTCTTGGGGACCCACTTCTCATTAAGGACAAATATTGTCTAAAACTCTCATCTCAAAACATCAAGGTTATCTTTATATAATTCTTCTTTTTCACACTGGGACTCTTCACTGGAGTTACCACTAAAACGTCTCTTGAATTTATCTCCTTTTCTTTCTTCCCATCAGTACTGCTCGAGTTTAGACTGTTCACATCTGTAGTTTGTATCTTATCTATTCTCTCTGCCTTTTGTGACTTGTATTTCCCTCTCACGCTTAAGCCCAAAGTGATAAGGCTTTCCATATTTTCATCTATATATGCAAGTTATCTTCCTGAAACAAGGATCAGAGCAAGTCACTTTCTTATAAAACACCAATGGTTCTTTACCACCTAAGGACAGAGTCTAAACTCCAGCATGGCCCTTCAGGCCTTCGACAATTTTCCACATCCTCCCCTCCACCTGGTTTTGCCACTCTCTGCCAAAGACTGAGCTCAACATATCTTGGACTAATTGACAACCAAATCCACTATTTCATGCTGTTCAACCTGTCCTCTCTGAGTGGCACATTCTCTCCATCTTTGCTTAATACCCATTGAATTATTCAAGCAGCTGACCACATTCATGTTCCCTGGGAAGATCTCCATTCAAGTGGACTCATAAAACACACTGGGTATCCTTTTACAAGAGCTATGCTCAAATTTCTTGCTACATTCTGTTTATATGTGCACACATGTGCGTGTGGGTGTGCTCATGGCTTGCTAGATTATAAGCTCTTTAAGGGCAGACATATGGTGGGTATCCTGTCCTTATTTTAAATAAATAGATTCCCTTTAGGTTCCAAGAAAGGAAAAAAAAAAAACCAAAACAACCAGAGAGCATAGTGCAGAGACTCTGGCCAGCACCAGTTCCCACTCCCATCAGCCCCTCCTTGAGAGCATGATGTTTTCCACCAGTCACATGCCAAAGCCTATAAAAAAGCAAGATCTCTAAGGTGAGTGAAAGAGCATTGTTGGATCTTCTGTCTCTTCAGGAACAGGAAGAAACTTTTTTTTTCTCTCATTTTCACTCATTTTTCAGGGAAGAAGAAGAGCAGTGTCATCATCTTCTTCAATACCACCACTGATTTATCATTTACAAAATGTTTTCACAGACTTCATCTCAATTCTCCTTACAATCCTGTAAGATGGAAACTATTACGACTATTAGTGTTATTTTCATTTCATAAGGAAAATTAGGGCCAGCGAGTTGGGCAATTGCCTAAGATCATGTGTGCTCTTTCCATCCTAACATGCTGCCTTGAACCTCACAAATCTCACTTATGCCCTGGCTCTGCTCAGGGTTCTCTCATCTTGTGCTCCAATGCCTCACATGGCTCACCTCTTCTTTGCTATGCTTGCTTGCTGACGCCACCTGTCTCTGATGAGCTCAGGCTTTCCTGAAACACCACACCTCTTATAAATTTGGGCAAATCCATAATTACATGACTCTATATGCTTCAATTTGGGTCATTTATGCTTTTTATGATTTAGGTGATTTAATTTGACCACACACTATTTGGCCTAATAAACTTTTTGAGAGTTTATATAGGAATGATAATGATGGTACAAACTCTTTTAACCATAAACTCTCCTAAGTACAAATTCTCTGAAACAAGGGATGGTTATCTTCTGCTCACTTTGTAATTTCTCTCCAACACATTGCATACCCCTTCACTGACTGATAGGTTCTACTCAACAGCAGAGAAAAGCAGCATATGTGTCTGTATTGATGTGATCAGATCAATACTGATCTGGCTATCTTTTGACACTAATATTTCATTTCTGTCCTTACAGACATCTGGGTATTTGTAAAGACCCAGGACTAGAACAGCATTTGTAAGCATAATCTTTCCTTTAGATACCCGCAGCATCTTGAAGAAGAGAAGGCCACAGTGAGCTTACTTAAAAGTGGCAAAGTGCTGGTTATCAGAACTTAATTGTGTCCTGAGATATTCGTTTAATACTCTTTTCTTCTCCTTGTCTCATGCCTGTGGCGTTGTGAACCAAAACAAGAATACCACTGAACTTGGAACATGAAAAATCTTTAGTGAAACCAAAGTGACTAATCTTTTATAAGTATTGAATTTTATTACTGACTTGTAATTTGAACAAAGCAAAATAATATACCTTGATATATTCAGTGCGTTGGGAGGCAGAAAAAAAAGGGAGCAGAATGGAAAGCATGCAGGGGGAAGAGAAGACGGGGAGAAATGTTTTCTAGATATTTTTAAAACATTCCATTTTTAAAAGTAAAATTTCTCTCCACCATGTGTCTCTTCAGACAAGACTTGTCAATGCTGTTAAGTGTTTGAGTCGTAGGCTGGATGGAACTATCACAAATTTTGCAAATCGTAGCAGTGTGATAAGTTCTATGAACGAGGGCAGAGATGCTGTGGAAGCATGAAGAAAGGGGCTTCTAAACCAGTCCTGGAAGGATAGGAAGACTTCCTGGAGGAAGGACTGTTGTAGCTCAAATCAGTAGGAATGAAGAGGTAAAGGGACTGGGAGGAGAGGGGAGGAGGGGTCCAGTAGAAGCACCAGAATGTTCCAAAGCCCACAGATGAAAGACCACGGGCTCCTCTGCGAGCTGCAGGGACAGCCACAGGATGCAGAGGGCAGGGCTGTGAAAGGTGGGCAGAGAGGAGTGGGGAGCAGGCGCTGGCCCTGGCACCACTATGTGGAGTTTGCCTTGTTCTAAGTTTTGTGCCTAGGCAGGAAGAGCTTTGAGGAGGGAAGTGACGCTTTCAAATTTGCATTTTGAAGGATTGTGTTTGCTGTGTGGGTACTGAGCTAGAGTGCTACTAGACTGTTAATGGGCAGAACTAGGCAGTGTTCCACCAGGGAAGTGACAATGGTCTGGACCACAATGCAGGTCATAGAGTAGACACATGGGAATGAAGCCGACAGATTTAGGAGGTGGCCTTTGAATGAATGTGGGGTCAGGGCTTTGTGACAATGAATTTGAGGGCAAAATATAAGGACTTCCCAAGATTCAGTCTAGTGGTGACATTCAACAGAGCAGAGAGGGTCGACATCAGAGAAACGGAAGGCTGAAGTGTCAGGGTGCCTGGCGTGAGGCCACTGGGAGCCTTGACTGTCATGATCCTTGACTTTTTTGAAGTAAATGCTCCCTTTGAGAATCAAAGTATCAAAACACGCACATGTATAAGAACTTACATATACATATTTAAGTTCAAAGACCTCTTAAATCTCATCCATAGATCTGCTAGATTAAAAATCATTGTTATATATACCTAAGTTAGTGCAGTCAGGGTGGAAGCCATCCACTGTAACACAAAGAAAACTACAAGAGCCATGGTCCACTAGATGGGTACAATTT